TTTATTTATAAAATTAATACCACTGTAAATGTACACACATCTCATGGACATTAGTTAACCTTTCACATATCACAAGACAGTTCCTGAACTAGAGTAGGCAGTCAGTGTTGTATTTGTTGAATAAATAGCAAAAGATGGATAAATATATAACTACATCATATGTGGAGCATGTCTTTTGAAAAAAATAAAAAGAAAACTTTTATATACTTATAAAATATATACCCTTTATGTCTAATTTATCACTCAATCTTTCAGTGTACACATACACATTGCACTCAGTATAAACTTGAAATCCTTTTATCTTTTCACTTATTGCCACTTACATATCAAAGTAATTACTTTTCTTGCTGTTATTGTTTCCAATCAGATAAGAGCGTATGATTAGGAAAATTGAGTTGATCCGTTACAGTACTATAGACCAGTCCTATTAACCAACTTGCTGCGATTCTCATAAAAATTATGCAAATTAAACTGGAAGATACCAGTGCCTGCTTCTATTAGGAACAAGAACCCTTTTCTACTTCATAATATGCTCAATTACCTTTAGATTGATCCATGAATAAATTATAATCCAAATAGACTTCTTTACCTTAAAGCTTTGCTGGCTTAAGGTATCATTGTTGATTCATTATGTTGTCACTTTTCTATCGGCAATGTAATGCTTTTTATATCTGGAGAGAGACAGTTTTAGTGTGAGATACTGTTATCTTTAAATGAGTAGGATTTAGCTTTTCTGGTAAGAACAGATTCATCAATGATGTATCCCGGGAGAAACTATCGAAACAAAAATCACACTATTTCTGAGCTTTGTTCAGTTCATCAGTTACAAAGCAGCTTTTGATAGTCCTAAAGAACTTTTTCCTTTGTTTAAGAAATATAGCATGATGCTCAGAACCTCTCGCTTTGAGTTACCGCAGGCTACAACTTTTTCCTGAGAAAATAATGAATGAAGAGGAAAAGCTCCTGCTGCTGGCTCTGTCAGGCCCTGCTGCTTCCCATCCTGCAATAGGAAATCAATTAACTGTATGTTCAGGCAGAGATTTGAACTAAATGCTTTATTAATCATCACTGATTGCACATACACAGTGACCAACTATGCATTCATTTTCATCTTTGTTTTGTTTTGCTTTGCTTTGCTTTGATTTTGGGGCAAGGTCACAACACAAACATATGCCTCAATGCAGTATGTATAGAGGTGTTTCTCTGGTGCCAGAAAGAAGTGCTCTTTTATATTTTCAGAAAAGGTAACTTAAAATGTTCAGGACCTCAAAACCTAAAACCACCTTAGTATATACAACATAATGATAAACACTTAATTTTCTCATAGTAGTGAGGAAAGAAAGCAAAATGCCTATGGCAGCTTTAAAGTTTTAGAAGCTCTGGGATCTCAGCAAGGCAGTGAGAAATCACACATAAATGAACTCTGTTGATTTGGAGATGTATGTTGGAAGGTTGAAGAACAGTTGCTGATATAATTTTGTGTGTGTGTGTGTGTGTGTGTTTCATTTAAAGAAAAAGTTGGCAACAGTTTTCCTTTTATTCTATTGATACTTTTAACCAATGTTCAAAGAAAATCCTGTAGCAATCTTTACATTAAATTGAGATGCTCTCCTTAGGACTAATTTAAATAGTTGGCCATATTAGACTCATCACACTGTTAGCCATGGGAAGGCTGCAGGACAGATTTATAGATGGTAAATGTAGTAACCACAGCAAAAAATTACAGTAGATCTAAGGCTGCTAGATATTCAGCATCAAGGGAATTTCAAATAATAGTAATCATTATTATATCACCATGGTTCAAAGTTAATTACATTCTTTCTCAACATTTACATAAAAATAATATTAATGGAAAAAAGTAGTTCCCTCTGATCTATGTTTGCTGTTGTTGTGTGCTGTCGAGTCAGACCCACTCATAGCGACCCCTCCTTGGGTTTCCAAGGCAGTATCACTGCGGAAGTAGATTGCCCAACCTTCCTTCCGAGGAGTGGCTGCCGGGTTTGAACCACCAGCCTTCTGGTTAGCAGTCAAGTGCCTTAGGCACTATGCTACCAGAGCTCCTATGTTTACAAGAATATAAATCAAAAATTCCAAGAATGGGTTCTTTTTAACAAAACTTTTAGGTGGAACTAGGTAGCATTGTCAATCTATATGCTGAGCAAATAATCCGAGAAGCTGGACTATATGAAGAAAAACGTGGTATCAGGATTGGAGGAAGAATCATTAACAACCTGAGATATGCAGATGATACAACTTTGCTTGCTGAAAGTGAGGATGACTTAAGGCACCTACTGATGAAGGTTGAAGAATACAGTCTGCAGTATGGATTACATCTCAACATAAAGAAAACAAAAATCCTCACAACTGGACCAATGAGCAGCATCACAATAAATGGAGAGAAGATTGAGGTTGTCAAGGAATTCACGTTGCTTGGTTCTACAATCGATGCCAATGGAAGCAGCAGTCAGGACATTAGACGATGTGTAGCATTGGGGAAGTCAACTGCGAAGAAACTGTTTCAAGTGCTGAGGAGCAAGGATATCTCCTTGAGGACTAAGGTGCGCCTGACACAAGCCATGATATTTCCAATCACCTGGTATGCATGTGAGAGCTGGACAATGAATAGGGAAGACCGAAGAAGAGTTGATGCTTTTGAGTTGTGGTGCTGGCAAAGAATGCTGAAAGTACCGTGGACTGCTAAAAGAACTAACAGATCTGTCCTGGAGGAAGTGCAGCCAGAATGCTCCTTGGAAGCAAGAATGGCCAGACTTTGTCTCACCTATTTTGGTCATGTTGTAAGAAGGGACCATTCCCTGGAGAAGGATGTCATGCTTGGTAGGGTGGAGGGTCGACGAAAGAGGGGGAGGCCTTCAGGGAGATGGATTGATACAGTGGCTGCGATGATGGGCTCGAGTATAGCATGGATTGTGGGGCTGGCGTGGGATCGGGCAGTGTTTGGTTCTGCTGTGCATGGGGTCGCTATGAGTCGGAAACGACTCGACGGCACTTAACAACAACAACAACAGGTAGCATTGACTAAGGTTAAGACCCAACCAGGGAAGGCCAATAATGATTCAGATTCCCATGGATTTTACTAGAATTAGGGGTGTCCTAAAGCCAGAGTTCATGTATTTCAACACTTAACCATTCTTTATACTCTTCAAGAATGTGAGATTAGGATTTGGGTGCTCTTGACGTATGAAAGAAATGTGGAGAAAGTGACATTATGACAAGATGTATATCATGTGGACATGTGTTTGTCACCTTTATGAGGTGTTATCTGGAACCCAGAGACATGTCTTTGGCACCTGCTATAATCCCTAACACCTCCTCTGCCCCAGTAAAAAAACTCATTTCATAAGAGGACTTTTCAAACAAGCATTACCTTTTCTATATTAAGAAGGCTTACATATTTGATAGGTATTGAAGATTTGGTTTATAATCTTTTAAATTTTATTCTTCTAACATGTCAGTCATTTATTTTATTGTAAAAACAGATACAAAATGCTCTCTTTTTACCTTGTCATAGCCTATTTCTGAAACCACTAAGTATTGTTTATGTAAATATTGTCAAATTTAAGAAATTTGAGGAAATACAATATTGAGGGGAAGTACATAGTTGTACTTTAATTTGACATTCACAACATTGTTTCCCTTTGCTTAACTTGACATAATTACAAATAATTGATAAATGTGTAACAGTCTTAGATATGACCAATAAATATGTTCTTTGCTAAAAATGTATAGTTGCAGTTTGCAGTTTGACTTGATTGTGGAGCATGGTTTCGATTTAGTTTACCTAAACTGAGAACTCTAGAAGACTGAGAACTCATTTTTCTGGGGCCTCATACAAGCTGGCAGGTGGAGGCTAGTGTTTTTAAACAAGTGTGATTTTTTTTTTTAGCTAAGCTCTTCCTAGGTCAGAGATCAGGATGACCTTGGAGTGCTGTAGTTTTCCAAACCTCCATCAGGTAGATAAATGGGCTTTATTCTACAGGAAATAGAGTGTATTTCTGCAGTCTTATGTAAGAGACCTAGCCATTCCAGGTTACAGGCTAACACAAAACATTTGAAATTCAGTGGTGTCTATCAGTAGAATGTGTCAATAAAAGGGAAGATCAAAGGTTCTAGAAGAGGGGAAGGACAAAGTGAAGAGGAAGTAATTGTGGGATAATGAATGATGTGAGGGCATTTTTGTGTTAACTTGAAACCACTTACCATTTTTCCATGACGCCCAGGTATCTTTCTAAGTGAACTTTGCAAAGTACAATTGAATAACCTTGAGATTTAAAAAGGAGCTCTGGAGCTCCGTAATGTGATTTTGAATACTGATGGAGTTTATTTAAGCACTATGATGTTTCCTCTGCTTTTTGTTTCTATTTTTGCCTTCTTCATGAAAAATAAAATTTGTTTTCTGTACAGGGAAATCAATATTTTTACCATTTTGTTTTTCAGCTATTCCAGTAAATTGCAATCATCATTAGTTACAGTCTTTAAAGAGACGTAGTAAGAATTTGAAGACAATAAAATAGAGATACAGATTAAAACTTTGGCAAAGTACCTTTGCTATTGACAAAAACATTTGTCAGGGACTACAGCTGTGTCTATATCGTGCTAAAAACTTGATGAAGGAAAAAAAAAAGCATCAATAGGTTCACCTTCTGTCTCTAAAATCCAAACAAATGGTTTAACTAATAGCTATTGTTTTAAGTGAATGGGTTTGGTTTAGCATTGTGAAATTTATTCTACTTAAGAATGTTTTTTAATTAACATTTGTATATTTAATATGCATATTTGGTAAAGGTATCATGCTCTTGCATTCTTTTTTAATAATTAATGGGATCTCGTACCTAGAAAACTAGGGGTCTAAGAATAAATGAAGACCTTGTTACAGTGTACTTGAAACAATCTCAAAACACGAATTTGTTTGTTGATAATAGTTATCACATTTTCTCTTTTATGACCTAACACGATTTTTTGTTTGTGTGTTTTCCTTTTAGAAACTGCCAAGTTTTGGACCTTATCTTGAGCAACGCAAGAAAATCATAGCGGAGCACAAGATTAAACTAAAGGAGCAAAATGCAGCTTTTTCACCAATTGAGAGAAAATATTTTATTCCCCAAAAGCCTATTCCTACCATCAAGGTAAATATATGTCTATTTTACTATTTAAATATATATAGTGCACATGTTTATTTACTGTTTAATGTTATCACTGAATTTGTTTTAGAAATACGCTGAAAGCTTAAAAAACTCTGTCTAGAGTAGGAAAAAACTGGGAAGGTACCCTTGTGGTGCAGTAGTTAAAACACTTAGCTGCTAACCAAGAGGTCAGTGGTTCAAATCCACCAGCTACTCTACAAGAGAAAGATTTGGCAGTCTGCTTCTGTAAAAATTTATAGTCTTAGAAACACTGTAGGGCAGTTCTGCCCTGCCCTATAGGCTCACTATGAGTTGGAATTGACTTGACAACTGTAAAGGTGGTATTATTTATTTATTTATTTATTTTGAGGGGCATTTGTAGTGGAAAATGCATTAAATTACAGAATGATCTATTTTATTTAAATATTTTACACTTTTTTAGAACACTGTCAAATATTTCTTTCACAGAAATTTAGTATGTATTAAATGTGTCAGGAAATATTAAGGTGAATTCTTTGTATTCTCATAATCATTTTTAAATTATTATAATCGAAAATTAATTCCAAGAGATCTCATACTAGTCATTCAATAAAACTGAACAATTAAGATTCAGTATGTACAATTAGTGATGATATCTTAAATTTTGGGCAAGTTTTCACTGGTTTTGCTTCTGGAAACCTTGTAACTTTCTTTGAGTCTCAGGGAATTATTTTTCTGGGTAATACCAAAATATATCATTAACATAAAATTGTGTGTGTATTAATTTTTTTATTAAACTTTTTTATTTTTAGATAATTGTAGATTCATATGCAGTTGTAAGAAATAATATAGAGAGTCCTTATGTATCCTTCCCCCAGATTTTTGCCAGTGGTAACAATTTTCAAAACTGTAGTATGATATCACAACCAGATATTGATACAGATATCCTCTACTAGTCCTATTCAGGTTTTCTCAGTTTTACTTCTACTCATTTGTGTGTGTGTGTGTGTGTGCATGTGTATTTGGTTCTATGCAGTTTTATCACATGTGGTTTTGTATACCCACCACCACAACACAATGGTTCCATTACCACAAGAATCCCCCACATTGCCTTTTCACAGCCACATCCACCCTGCCCAAGATAGAATTGTCTCTTTGTTTGTTTTTCACTATTTATTTGTTTTTTAGAAAGACCAAAAAAACAAAAAACAAACCCACTGCCATTGAGTCGATTCCAATTCAGAATGACTCCCATTGGTTTTCTGAGACAGTAAATCTTTACAGAAGTAGATTGCCTAGTCTTGCTTCCATGGAGTGGCTGGTGGGTTTGAACCACCAACCTCTGGCTAGCAGTCAGATGCTTTAGTCACTGTGCTACCAAAGCTCTATCCTCCTGATGCGCCCAGGTCAGGTGGGGTAGTGCTACTAAGGCCTTCATGAATGCAGGGCCCATTACTTGTCCAAGGAGCCATGATTGGGGGTATATTTGACTCCACAACCATCAGGGATAAGGCACTTCTCAGCAACCATGTCTTCATACTCATCAGCATTAAATTTAGTAAAGCCATGCTTCTTGGAAATGTGTATCTTCTGGTGCCCAGGGTCTTGAACTTGGCCCTTTGTAGGTCCTCAGTCACATGCTCCTTATTTTGAAGCTTGGTGTAAATGGGCATGATGACTTAGACCAAGTGGATCCTGGCCACTGTACCCTGGAGTTCTCCAAAGGCACCTCACATAACCATTTGAAGCCTGCATTAGGGACAACAGAGATTATCGAGGTCAGAGACATGAAAGAGCAGGAAAGGGCTATCTCCAGGGTCCCTTAGAACAAACCATACATGCCAAGAGGCTGTGTACACTACTGAGGAGGCTGCCATTTGCAGCTGTTGCACACCAGTCCCCACAGGGAAAGAGGAGGTTGGCTTGATTGGCTGAAGGAAGATGGAATTATTTTAAAGCTGCGGTTAATGGGGTGCGGGAGGAAAAGAACAAATATGGTTGTTAACAAATTGATTCTGACTCAGAGACCTCATGTATGTCAAAGTGGTACTCTTTTTATAGGGCTTTCAAAGGCTAATTTTTTGGAACCAGATCATTGGGTCTTTCTTCTGAGGTGTCTCTGGGCAGACTCAAACCTCCAACCTTTTGGTTAGCAGCTTGTGCATCAGCCATATGCGCCATGCAGGGACTCCATGTAGGCTGATAATATCTCTAATGTTACCATCACTAAAGTGAGGTTTGCATTTGCCGAAATTTATTCTTCTCTATTTGCTGATGATCTGCTACATCTTCAATTTCTATGTGAAGCTTCCACTGAAAATCTCACTTTCAGGTGCTCACAGGTGGACCTCATTGAAATTCATCTCTAGCAGTCAAATGAGAATTGGGCTCCTTAAGAATTTCCTCTATCTGTCAGGAAAAAAAAAAAAAAAAAAGTGTCCTATGCTACAAAGAGTGGCATTTAGACTTAATGTGGAAAAATTTAAGCAATGCAGAGTTCCAAAAAGAGAAATGAAGGGGGCTGACCACAGGCTCTACTAGCACTTCGATGGCATCATTCCAAATGAGTGAACACTGGAACTTTTAACATCCTAACAACCCCAAATAGTCTCTTGAGCTGTTTCCTTTAAATTATTTGTGTGCTACTAAAAGGATGATCTGCACACTCATGGGAAAAAGGAAGCCAGATTCTATAGCCCTTCAGAAACCTGCTCCCCCCCCATATTTGCCTAAGATTATTATAGGATTTGGTTAAGTGGAAATTCTTCCAGCCTTCCTACCTTCTTAGTTAATTTGAATTACGTGTAAAATCTCTTACTCCAGGAGTCTTATCCTTATATATAAAAATTTCAAAAGAAATATATCATTTATATATTAAATTTAAAAAGGGACCTCTGGTGGCATAGTGCCTAAGACATTTGACTGCTAAGCAGAAGGCTGGCAGTTCAGACTCACCAGCCACTCCTCGGATGGAAGATTGGGTGATCTACTTACATAGAGATACCACCTTGGAAACCCAAGGAGGGATCGCAATGAGTCAGACCCGACTTGACAGCAGTGAATTTGGTTTTTGGTTTTTTTGAGGTGATTTTAAAAACATTTTTCTCTTTTTGAGTGCTCTGTTCTTTCAGGGAGTGTGTTGATAACATAGAAGTAAACAAAAATAGAGTAATCAACAAACCTACTGTAGTTGAAGCAAAGTTGGTAGCTCACTATTCCAACTAAAATAAACAACACAGCAGAATGGAAATGTGAAGTCAAGAAGAAAGATTTTAAAAAATATATCAAGTATGGATATGGAATCTTATTTTAAATAGTGCAGTTCATAGATCTGTCCTAAAATGTTTCACTCTAAAAATTATTCACATTGAAATACCCTTGGCACTGTACATGGAGCTCTGGTAGCATAGTGCCTAAGGCATTTGACTGCTAACCAGAAGGTTGGTAGTTCAAACCCACTAGCTACTCCACAGAAGGAAGTCTGGGTAATCTACTTCCGTAAAGATTTACCACCTTGGAAACCCAATGGGGGTTGCTATGAGTCAGAATTGACTTGATGGCAGTGGGTTTGGAGTTTTGTTTTTTTGGTGCTATACATAAACCACAGAACATTGTAAATACCATGTTGACAGCATCTAAAGACCACATGGATGTCAACACATTAAGATGCTGATGTTGGAGATTTTTCTCCAGTGGCTTTTCCACTACCTTGGCCTTCTCCTTTGGGATACCCATACCCATTCCATCTGCTGTCATTTCAAGGAAGATAGTATGTCCTGTCAGAAAGCATAACAGTAGCTGATAATGTGATGTATGTGGTTGTTTATTTGTTTGTTTGTTTAGTGGAGGGAAGGGAAATATTTTTATATGTTGCAAGTACAGTCATGTGTTTGTACAATGAGAAATTAATTTTTTTTTATAACAAATGACTGTTCACCTCACTTTGCTCTTCATAGCCTTTATAGGAGCTCTGATAGCATAGTGCCTAAGGCACTTGACTGCTAACCAGAAGGCTGGTGGTTCAAACCCACCAGCCACTCTTTGGAAGGAAGATTGGGCAATCTACTTCTGTAGTGATACTGCCTCGGAAACCCAAGGAGGGTTGCTATGAGTCAGGGCCGGCTCGATGGCACATAACAACAACAACAACAACATATACACTTTAAAAATAATAGCACTCAAGTATGTTTTGAATTTATTTTCTCTAATTGCAGTTTCTCTCACACTTTGTAGTGAAATAAATATATATATGTGTGTGTGTGTGTGTGTGTGTATAGAGTTTTAATTTTGTGTAATCACACCTTGCAAAAGCTTATTTTGTGATTTCTCTTTCTTTATTTTTATCATTTAACCCCCTTTACCATACATCATCTAAATATCCACCCCACACCATTCTTTTATAGTTTAAATTTTTACTTTTAAGTCTTTAGTTAATCTAAACTTTTGATATTTGATATTTCTAAAATATCAAAACCAAAAAGTGAAACTCACTGCCGTCAAGTCAGATCCAACTCATCATAACCCTCTCCTTGGGTTTCTGAGGTAGTATCACTACAGAAGTAGATTGTCCAATCTTCCTTCCTAGGAATGGTTGGTGAGTTTGAACCACCAGCCTTCTGGTTAGCAGTCAAATCCCTTAGGCACTATACCACCAGAGCTCCCTCTAAAATATCAGATATGGTAATAATGTTTTTCCAAAATAGATAACAATCCCAAAACCTTAATACTTGCTTGTTAAAGTGGGCTTTTTTCTGTCTCTCAACTTATTATTCTATGACAAAAAGTCTCCTAAATTTCATTACTTACTTTACAGTTAAATTTGCCACCTCTAAAAAATTTGCTAAAACTTCAAAGACAAGAAGTTTTTTGTGGACCAAAAATGCCTTAGACAAGGTTCTAATAAGGCTGTTGTTGTTGTTTGCCGTCGAGTCGGCCCCAACTCATAGCAACCCCTCCTTGGGTTTCCGAGGCAGTATCACTACAGAAGTAGGATTGCCCAACCTTCCTTCCGAGGAGTGGCTGGT